GTGACTGAAATATCTATCAACATGCAATTAAGTGGTTCGATCGCGATAATCTAAGCCCCGCCTGGCCACGTTGAGAGCATTCTAAAACTAACTTTTCCTGCTTTTAGTTGAACGATTTTCACACGTGTCGTTGATGGATTGACTGATGTTTGACACAGTGGGCGTATGGTGACAATCTCCTTTATTAAGTTTATGGGGAAATTCTGAAACCCAGCTTTCGGTAATGGTTTGGAAAATCCCTTTAAGAATTTTTTTAACCTCAGAATTTTGTTCTTTGGAGTAAGGCCTGGCTAGTGAGGAAATTTGTGGGAAATCCTGCCATTTCAGAACGATGATGCTGCTAAATTTATTGTAGGCGTATTCGCTGCGACATGATACTGTTTATTTTGTAAGCAAAGTCACACTCTCTCAAGCATACCGTCCATCATACTTAAATCTCTTCCCAACAATTTACTACAGATTAGATTGCTGAGTTCAACACAGAATTGTCTCAGAGACATTTAAAAATTCAGGAGAGTCAGAGGCATCAGCTACAGGGGTTATTAGTAACTTTCTGATAGCTTTAATATGATTAGAGACATCAACATCACAACTCTTAAGTTATGGAACAATTTATACGTCTCGTTTAGACTTAATTCGATGTTAAAAGTTTGCGTCCAGACTGGGTAACCAAGCTGCCTCTGATGTATCGCGTCCCACTCTGGTGTTCTCTGTGTGTCGTCGGACTTTTGATTTGTTCTTGTTGTTCACTCGATGGCATCTTTTTATTCTTTTCCCTGAACTGAGACCTCCGCACTGTGCGTTAACAACTTCGGTCAAGGTTGTTAAAATGATGATCGACAATACAATTACTAGAAGGAGAGAGCTCTTCATTGCGTTGTACTTTGTTCTTTTGTAGTGGGCTGTTAAATAAATGAATGGTTAGTGAAAATGAGTATTAACCCTTCGACTTCTACGAATGAATGACAAATGTTTCTCTTTACAGTATGGCGGCTGAAATAAACTTTAAGGTCGACCGATAAAGGATATGACCGCTTGCTATAGAATCTCATGATTGCTTAATAAGTTATTCTTGTTGGTACCATAAGAAATATTTGGAGAATAGGAAGGAAAATATGCATATCGATGTTAGGATAAATATGCCAGGAGAAAATGAGGGACAGAGAGGGACAATTGTAAGCGTTTGCTGGGAAGTTTTGATACCTTCAAGATTGTTTTCGGTTGTAGACCGAAACGAGGGTGTGTTTCTCCGGAAGTACCCTCTTTGAATCCTCTGTCAAGATTTCTTTTTCCCTTTTTTTTTGGAAGTCACTTTCATCGACAAAATTCATCACTGTGTTTAACCTCATTACAGCCAGTGACAGCCGGTGCATAAAAGAAAGATGCGATTTTATATGAATGTCTCTGAAAACAGCTTACCATCGGAGAGACTATCTGCAGTGAATTAAACAAATTGAATAATGCTTCGAATGTTTGTTGAGTTTTATTTGAACTGAATTTAGTGCAGAGTCTAAAGCGAAAAGAATTATTACTCAGTCGAACTGGAATTTGAAGAGTTGCACGAGTTGCAACCTTTTGAGGCAGTGTGAGGGGATTTTTTTTTCCAGGTTTTAAGCTCATTGGGAAGCATAAGAGCAGTGCGCAGTTGAAAATGTTTTACGTTTGCAGTAACAGCGTGAAGGAAGTAGTCATTGAATACTTTTCACGAGTCGTAAAAAGTATTTGAAGTTCAAGGTAATCGGGAAGCGTAACAGTTGTGCATATTTGCTGTCTGGTCCACAGCAGAGGCAGTGAAGTGTTAACTAAATTCTTTGCTGACGCACAAAACCACTCGAGGAAACTCCAAGTGTGGGAGATTCAACCTGAAAAGGTCAAGTTGTACAGAGTTGTGTACAACGAAGAATTTTTTTTTTCTTTTCATGGGTGGTCCCAAGCAGAACAAGCGATCTAGAGTGCATGGGGTGTGTGAATTTATTAAAGCTTTACTTTGTCGCAGAAGCTCAGTGCATATCAAACGTCAGTTTGAAACTCTATTGTCGACATAGCCTCTTTCAGTTTTGAGTCACTGGTTACCACAAGTGTGGTACAGAGCTTTGCATTACAGACATTTGCAGACATTTGGCGTTTGTTCTTCTATTTTCCAGAGGGAAATTGTACTTTCCGCCTTAAAATATCTTATTTTGGCGACGCATGGTGTAATGAGTAAGGCCAAACTAGGTTATATTTTTATTAATTAAATCAGGAAGGTAGATGTGCATGATTTAAAGTTGAGAAAAGTTATGTTGAGCCATGCTCCTTCTATAATCTACAAACATAGGGCATTCATGATGACTCTCAAAGTTTTTTTTTGTTTTTAGAACGATAATAACCAGTAACCTGCAGTCATGTACTTTTTCGTTTCACTCTGCTTCACGAGTGGTATAAATCCTGGACGTCTGTTGTTCATAGTTTTAAAATTTGGCCTTACTTCGTCAGAATTTACTAAATTTACTTGAGTTTATTTAATTTGTTGAACAAAGAAATAATGATCTAAACACGACTTTTTTTTTCCTTTTTCGTCTGAACTATCAATCGTTGCCTTCCCTAGTGGTTTTTGTTTCCATTATCAATGTATTCTTACCAAGCAAACCAACATTTATAACTCGACGTAGTTTCTAAAAGTATCCATGAGAACCTTCATCAGGAATCCAATCTCGAAATGTCTAAAAGATGCGCCACCTTGTTTGCCAATTTAATTTATTGTGGAAGTTCAAGAAATACATTAGAATACACAATGAGGTTTTCTTTTATCCGGCTATTATTCATAAACAGCGAAACTTTTATTCTCCGCGTAGAAATCATTGTGTCAAAGACTAAATATCTAAATTGTCTGAAACTGGTAAACACAAACTTGTTACAAATACAGAAGGCGTTAAAAACGAATTTATTATCACTTACCTCAGAAAGGTTATGAATACTCCCTCACCTTCGTTTCTATGTTCTCTGAGATTTCTTTCCAAAATTTATACTTTTTTGCAGCTGGCCTTCGCTTAGTGTTTGGGGCTTATTGTCTTCCTTACCTGAAAAATTTTCCAAATGTTACTAAACAGGATCAGCTGTGATGCTGAGCAGCTGTGAATTGTTATCGAGGCCTCGAGGTGTTTTCCGGTTATCGTTCAATTTGTGGAGACGAAAAGGTCAGTTTTCTACTTTAGTGCCGTAGAATACACTACTGTAGTTATTGTGAAAAGACCGATAGGAAATATCATCGGTGCATTTAGGAAAATGTGTGTTTAGAAACGCTTGCAGCGATTAAGCGATTTGGAATGGAGAAAGTAACTGGAAACTGAATTATTTGGTGTATAATTGCATGAGGCTTTCAAGTGAAGTGCTTAAGGGGAATAGTTTGCTTAATCAAGTTACGACACAGTCGTGTGTCCAATTTGGGGTCTTCCCACATGAGCCTGAGGTATCTCAGTGGGCTAGAATGGTTAAGGGAACCAATTTCGAATATGGAAGCGATCTTCGCAGTAATGAACACTACGGAAGAAAACATTTCCTATCTCCAAGTGGCCTTGTGGTGTTATATCTATTACATTAACAACAATGAAATGCCAATCCATTTTACGCTATTCTTTCCAAACCTCGCGAAGAAATTTAGATTAGCGTTGAGGTCGTGCGTGGTCTTTTTCTTTGTATTCTTAATTGGTTCGCTCTCATTAACCCTATATACCCAAACATCAGCATGTTTATTTTCCATACTGTTCTTTATACATTTCTTATGGCACTGACAATATTTGATTCAGCAGTGATATCTTGTTGAAATATTAGATGATAGACAGCCTCGAAGATGAAATGGTGTGGCAATGTGCTTGTCAACGTTATCTTCGCAATCATCAATGAATCTGGATTTAGAAATAAAATTAGATTGAATTGTAATTGGAATTTAGTTAATATGAGAATATTTAGATTTCAGTAAGGTTCGTCCATCATTCTGAAATTGTGTCGTGGCTGTTATGAGACCTTTGACAAAGGCGCCACTGTCGAAAAGGGACGCTGCGAAAGGCGAGATTTATTATGTAAACATAACAACGATTGTCATGTAATGTGTTATATAACATATAATGTTTTTGCGTTAAAACTCACGTGATAATCCATCGGTGTTTACGTAGTATGAGTAACAAACCAATACGAACGATCCAACATCACTGACTGATTGATTACAGCCAATAACATCACACATGTGAGTAATTGACCAATCAGTTTTCACGAACCAGACTTTGGCTGACAAGCTTCCTATGCAAAACATTATGGCGGCTAAATAGCTACTTCTTGGCGTAGAGTTGGAGAATTTTTAGTGTAACACAACGATCGGATTCCTGGCCTTTAAGATAAACCTACCGTGAAAGCAAATAAGAAATTTCAAACGTCCTAATCACTTGATCTCAAAGGAACCATCTTTCCCACCTATGTGATGCCCCACACAATTATAAACGTAAATATGCTTTAAGTCATTGAATCAAAATCACACCTTGTTGCATGACAGTGACCGGAAACGCAAACACAAGAATGTGACTTATAACCAGGTTAGAAATGAAAGATATTTGAAATGTGGTGAGGCGCCTCTGTTATCATCATCATCATCATTATTATTTTTATTCTTATTGTTTTCATTATGACAGGCGCCCCGCTTCCCTTTAGGTGCCTTCTTTCTTGGCTGCACTTGGCCTGGTACCAAAGTAAATAGATACCACACCTTTGAAGCTCCAAATTTGTCTCGGACGTTCTTAGTATTTTCTTGTCTTTTCATTTTCTGTTTCTTTGTTTTCAACGAGGGCATCTCTTGGTACTAGATGGCAGTGAGTGCAGCCTCGTAATTTCTCCTTGTTCTGACTGAAGTAGCACTGATCTCTGCTTTTTGCTTAAATGTAAAGCGTCACGCATGCACATTCAGCGAATTCCTCAAAATGGCGACGCATGTAGCTGATTGATCCAATCCTGTGCGTTTTCCGTCCAAATGGACACCTCCAGGTTTTATTTCAAAACTGCTCAGTTATTTATGACGCAAATAAGGAAGCCTTGACATTGTCTTGTTCTGTATTTTATGAACATCCGATGCTCTCTGAACTCATTCGATAACGTAAATTGGCCTCCGTAAACAGTTTCTGAAGCTGACGTTTCAAGCGTCAGCCCTTCGTCAGCTTCTCTTAACAGACAGTCTCGAAATGGGACATCTCTATGATTGAGCACTTTCACAAGATCCTATCTGAAGTCTCTTTAAAGTCTCTTTTGTACATTTCCGGCGTATAGAGCGGACGTAAACACCTTGAAGAGTTTGTATTTAAACATTTCCTCTGATCATGATTTCAGGCATCTGCAAGCGGACAGCCGAAAGAAAATCGCGGTAGCTTTTGAATCTTACTTTCGTTTTGATTAAAAATGTCTCTGGCCGTCGTGCTAATTTTACGGCGCATTGATTACAGTACCATATTTAAAAGTTTGTTTTGTCACTATGTTTTGTCCAATGGGTAGATGAACAAGCTCCCTTTAGCGATCATCTTTCGATAACACCTCTAATGGCTGCCTACGAGAATAGTTCTCGTCAGATAGTTATGAACAATTTTCAGTTACGTGTCGTAAGGGTGTCTGTCTTCAAGGCGTTTCAAAATAAAGAGGAATCTGCGAGAGTAACATTGGGATAAGAAATCTGCGTAGGGAGAACAGCTCATTTTTATCCTTAAATGCCATTTTGATCAGTTTTATAGTTCTCAAAAAGTGGAAAGAAACACTCCACTACTTTTCCTGTTTTCCCCTAAGCTTCTTTTGTGTCCTTCCCGTGTGCTTTGCAAAGTGTCAGAGCATCCAGTCCAGCTCGTTTATATGTGAATCACATAACGTATCACTGAGAAGTCTTTGCTTAGAGAGAGAGAGAGAGAGAGAGAGAGAGTTGATTGTAACTAAAATACTTGTGTATTTTATGTGCTGTACTTTCCCTCTCGATGTTGTAGCACTATGTTAGCTATTCTACGTGGGATAATTTCGGGCTTGGCAGTATTAAACGAGGATCAACTCGAACTTTTTTATTGTCGTCTTCTCCGCCTAGTGGGATCAGAGCTTGATGACGCACAGCGTGAATTGTTCGATAATACACTGAACAAATAAAATAATAATTATGGCAGAAAATCAATCGCGCTTTACTGAGACTGTTTACGGAGAAAGCGACAATTGTGTTTAGTTACTGATAACCGTGACCCATAAAAATGGAGACTGTCGTTAACATCTTATTTCAGCCATTTCTTCCGAGCACCCTTGAAAATACGCACTGGATATTTTTGTTATGGATTTGTCGTTTACATGCAGACGGATAACAAACAGGTGTTTATAATACGTTTGTGTTGTCAATCCCTGTTTTCTATTTTTTCTTCAAATGATTGGTAGTTGACGATCCAATCGTCGCGGTTTCCGCTCTCAGACCACGCAAAATTTGTTCAGTTCACGTCGTCTTTTTGCAGTGGGCGGCTGGGAAATATGCAAAATTAAAAAAAGACAGGCATTGTTATCTTTCTGTTCCGCCGCACTAAATCTGTTGTTTCGACGCGTTCGCGTTGCTGTCCCATCGTGATTTGCCCGAGGCCTTTTATGAACTCAAACCTCTCAATCGGAGTTCAATTGTTCAGTTGAACGCTTGCCAGGAGCCAAAAAGGTCACAAAGATCTTGGTTCGAACTTGTTGATTTCAAAATCATCCTGTTAGCCTACCTTAGCTTTTTTTTTTTAAGTGGGGGAGGGGTTGAGAATGAGGATGAGTATTCTTGAGAATTTGGGCGAATGTTTTCTTTCGCGCTTATAGTCAGGATACGCAAGACAATAATAAGTTTCAAAGGATGCAGACAGTTGCTAGCTGTGTCTTTGTAGCATACTTCTATCTATTAAAATTTATCAGAACCTTCAAAATGGGGCACGTATGTATACACACATCCTATGAATCCACAACTTATTACATACTCTACCTTTTAGGCACAATGCAAACTCCGAGGTTTAGGTGCAAACTTGTGATTTCGTCTGGTGCTGCGGCTTCTTCTTTGTGTAGGAGACACAGGACACGTCACTGAATGGTTCACTGGTAACTTATACACTTTTTTTTTGTGAAAACTGCCTTCGCTGTATACTATTTAATTTGTAAACTTCTCTCACCACTGTTTACAAAAAGGACTTTGGCTCTACAAAGGGAATTAAAACTGAAACATCTTTTGCCTTAAAAAGCCCCATATTAATCGACTCAGAATGAAAATCAAAACAGAAACTGATATCCGTGAAAATACACTTATCTCTAAAACAAAATATGTATTTTTTCCGTGTGTTCACTTTTGTGTCGCGTACCAGTCAGACAAATGGCTCTGTTACATGAAAAATGACAAACTTAATATTTTCTCTAGGCCCTTAAAATCCATCGGTTTTGCTGTTAGAAAATGTTTTAGTTCTTAGGCTAGACAGGAGGAGTCAGTCTGAACTCAAGTGAGTCAGTCTGCTGAAGTCCTTGGTTGCACAGAAAGAAAATCAATTTGCCGACCCCCCTTGGGACAACACTAATGTAAAAACATGCTTCATGTTAGTTTTTCTTTTTGTGGAGTTGTTGTTTCCTTAGTGTGGGGATCCATCCGTTGTTTCTTGGCGTAAAATGTTCAATAACAGAACTGTGAACATCAAGCGTTGTACTTTGTTTACTCAGCGTTTCGTTTCGGCCGTGCGAGTCGTGCCGAATATTAGGTAAAATGATGCACCTCAGGGGCCCGTTCATAATGAAAAAAGTTAATAGAGCGTTCTGAAAACGCCAAACAACAACAACAACAACAGCAACAACTACGAACAAACAAGCAAACAAACAAATTCCGTTCCCACTGACATTGATAACAGTTGTTAACCTCACTGGAACGACCCTCCGGCGGCAGAAACGCAAAATTAGGGTTTCCTAATAAACAGCAGTAACCAAAGCCAAATCAGCTCTGGTTTCAAAATGTTTCCCGCACGAAAACGAAAATTTAAGTCGAATTTTTCAAATTTATCCACTTTGAGCTCGAGACCAACATTTTGGCTATTGGCTGTATTTTTGTAACCATGTCCATCTAGAAATCCCTAAATGTTCTAGAATACCTCAAATTTTCTAAAAATTTTCCAAAAATTTCGTTTATCTCTAAAAATCCTAAAGAGAAATCTGAATTTTTGTATCTAGCCCTGGATCGGAATGGTGTGGAATGGGTTGGGGGAACGTAAATTTCACACTTCCGGGGATACTGACGGCACTTGAGAAGGTGCAACTAATTTACGTGCCTTTAAGGAAGTTGGCATCTCATTCATACCAAGAAAAGTCATTTCTGTTATTTCTGTGCGACTTAACAAGTTCTTTTTGTGCGACTTAATAAGTTCTTTTTGAGCGTTTAGCAGCACCTTACTGGAATGGAAAAAACTGCTTAAGTCTATTGAGTCACAAATGTGAAAATTAGCATCAATGCCGACTGCTTAGAAACAATGTCCAGAATATGTATGTAATTTGCGAAAGCAATTATGGTTGTGAGCAGTGCAAATGAGGAGTCTTAACATATTCAGTGCTGGGAAGAAAACTTTCCTCGTTAGGTGTTCAACAAGTAAACGTTTCCTTACTGTAAGCTGCTTTCTTATCTCTAAAAGCTACGTTTTATGACCGGAAGGGCGTTTTTTGCTCCCCTAGTCCAGGCTCAGCATTGACGCAGTGATACCATAAATCCAAGAGGTTGGCCTGTTCATTACCTTGTTAAATTTAGACTTCATTGTTCAAAATAAAAACTAGAAAATAACTCAACTTAGTGTTGGCCATGTGTTTGTTGATCACGTACTTTAATAATTTTATATTTCAAGTCACGTTCGTGTTTTGTTCCAAGTTATAGGACTAATTTTCGTGCCTTTTTATCGACACTTTTTCAACCCATTTGACGTCAATACTCGCATGGAATTCCATTGATTACCCGATAAAAATGTTCAAGTTTATTCTTGAATATTGATTAGTATGACACCAATATGCGAAACACGCACATGCAGCTTTCCTGTTGTTAAATGAGCGATTGGAAAAGTTATGACTTCCATTTTGTGTTTCCTGATCTTTTAATAAACCATTTGGTGAAAAATGAGTCATTTTAAGTGGTACTAACTCAGCGTGGGGGCCCCACATAAGAGAACCACTCGTCGTGCCATTCAGTTGTTTGTGACAAATGCATCCTTTGTAACCTCAAACAAAAGGCCTGTTATGTTTGTAAGAATAAAACATAAGTCCATTTGAATGTAGTCCGTTAAATCTAAAAGCCATAAAGATTTGCAAAAGAATTGATTTCAATTTTTGCCTGGTTGAGCTGGTTGTGGCGTTTTTCTCGTGTGTCGAGTAGATTTCCGCTTTACACCATTTGTTTCTTATCTATTCTTGACACTGCACAGTGATTCATGTATAGAACTCTCTTGGGATAGTGACCTGGTCAAAGAAGCACTTGGTATCCATGGTATTGCACCAAAGTGTCGGAGCACGACGATTGTATTTTCTGAAGAAGTTCCCTTTTGAAACGTCTGTCATCCATCATTCTAGGCCTTCGACACAAATTGAGGTTTTGTGAGAAGCAGCACATCGAAAGAGAATATACAATAGCGTATTAGCGCTTATTTTAAAGGTATTTTTTGTCATAGCTTTTCGTATTTAATATTCTGACAAAAGTAAATGTGTTTGATTGCAAATGAAGAGGTCTTAAAGTTAAAATTTGGTTGTGAAAATGTAACTGATACCTCATTTTTTACTGCAGCTTTGTAGGAAGTAAAGAAAGAGACAGGAAATCTGAATTGAAGTGATTCAGATACAGCATATAAAGATCTGCAACCTTGATAGAAGTGCACGTACTTAGCGGTGAGTGTAATCAAGTTTTCTCTCGTGTTATGAAAGTCCCAGCTAGTGGTTTGAATGTGTATTGTTATGTTGTTTTGCTGTTGGCAAACACTTCGTCAGTCTCTTCAACCTGGGACGTTTAAATTAATATTGCAAACTATCAAGAAAGTGTTTTAACGTCCATATTTCAGTGAAGCATATCTATTTTCTCGGCCTCATTTCTTAGAAATAAATAGACCGTCATCTGGCATCAACAATTCCTTTCTCCCCTTGAAAATTAATTATTTATAACCAATGTCGTAGCTGCGGCCGTTTGCTTCTTCTGATTTTCTTGGACCAGAGGCAACATTTTAACCACAATTTGTTGGGTAGTTAACAAGAAATTAGTCTCCAAAATACCAACAGTTACTTTATGTGAGTACCTGCAGGCGAGCTCAAACGGCCACGTTTTCCGCGCTTGCTATTGTTCGTGTGCATAACATACAGAAAAAAAAGTTCAAATATTTCCTCTTCGACTCTATTTACCTCTCACCCTTATGTTAAAACGCCGATTAAAAAACCTTGGTGGTTTCATTAAACGTTTTAACAACTACCTGATGCTTTGTTTGTGAGGCAATGATATCGCAATTGAACTTAACTTCCGACGGAAATATCATATCGAAATTTGCTCAAAAGACATGCAATTCGCGTCCCATAAATGACAAAGGACAAGCGTAAATTGATTAACATGCTAGTAATCAAAAAATTGTGTTTTTCTCATCTCGTTAAACGTCAAAAGGAAACTTCGCCTCTGGTGTAAATAATGTACGTAATATGCTGTGCTTTGTGGAATTTTGGGCGAGAGACATAAAACAAACTGACGTTGTTTTAACAAGTTATTTATCAAAGAAGCTGGATCCAAAACTGCGAGTCAGCCATACGCAGTATTTACCCAATGCAAGATTTGCACAAAAACGAAATTCGAGTTTAAGAGTTCTTGTTGAATGAGATTCGCTTAATTACAGCGGCGTGTACAAAAACAATCTAATCAAAGTGACACCCCGTCTGAAAAACGATTACTTTTTGTTGCTTTTGCCTCACTGAGAACAAAATTGCCAGGTGTCTGTCGGTTCTAAGTGTAGAATTAATTTCTTTAGGCATATCAGGTGTGGTGCAGATCTAATTTCTTTTAGGCTCATCAGGTGCAATACATTTTGGAGTTTAGGAAAGATTTGAAATCAAAGTTCATTATGTAAATTATTGACAGCAGGTTTACTTCTGTGCGCCTTTAGGGATTAGTATATATTTTTTTTGCTGCTTTTACGACGTAAAGGTTTGAGGGATTTACAGTGGACCTTCTTAGTGTGTATTATTTGTAAATTGAAGTTTTTAGAACCGTTCAATCCTTTACTAAGTTCTTGCGTTGTTAACCATTCGTGTCGTTTTCGATATTGTCATGGTTATCCTGAGCGCTCTGGGGTTTACTATTACTAGTTGAATTGACATACAATATTGGAATAAGGAAAATAATTAAATATGAGAGCGATCTTCGCAGTAATGAACATTACTTAAGCAGCAGTAAAAATAAGGCCGGTAAAAGATTCAGGCCTCTACGGGATTTGAGCTCATGACCTCTGCGAAACCGGTGCAGAGCTCTTACCAACTCCTGGTTGCTGGTAATTGTAAACTGGTCATGTAATTCGCAGTCACTGGTTCATCACGTGTTCAATTACATGAAAGAGCAGCCCAGATAGGACCGGTAATTTTCTGCGAAATGAAGCGAGGAATAAAAGAGCGAGGAAAGTTTATTGCGGACGGAAAGTTCTTCATCCTTGTTTTTTCGTTCGCTTTACTTTACATCCCCTTACTGATACTTTTACGCCGCTTTCTATCGACTCAACGTGAAAGTCAGCAGATCCCCGTCACTAGAGTTCTTATTACGAAAGGTTGCTCTGGTAAAATTAGACTATTCTTCGCTTTGAAGAAGGGTTCACGCTCGAAACTTCAAATCCTTTACGGTGGCTAATTTACTTTTTCATCTCAGCAGACAAAACCAAATTACAACCAAATCATCTTGCTATACCCGCGTCTGACATAGCAACCCACTTTCTTTCGAAAATCGCCCCCGTTATACTCTTCTTAGTGGGCGTTCGTATTTTTTTTTATAATTATTTTAGAATTCCGGGGCACTTTGAGACTTTTATTCCATGAATGAACTGTGAGAGTAAGATTTGAACATGATTGTGGAGAATTACTTGCAACTACACCCAGGGAAGCCGGCTTAGGTCCGGTTCATGACGAGTCGCAATTAAATTCTGGTATTTTCGTCTCCTCTGAGAGGCTTGAAATCAAAAGGCGTTTATGGTTTGAGACTTTTTGTAGCAAAAAATGTAGATAAAAGTAAACTGAACACGTTTTTATGGAAAAATCTCTTCTGAGGCAGAGTGATTTTTCGGATACAAAGAGCAGTCGTTGCCTAAAATAAATGTAAGAAATAGTGCAAATATTGTTTAAAAAAAACAAAAAAAAAAAGGAAGCCGACCGATGGGAAATTGAAACAACACTTTTCTATTGTTTTTGAATCTTAGCGTTTGGTTTTCATTTACAATTTGTTTCATGAAGTGGAAAATCCGAAACGTTGATTGTTTGTTGATATTTTCATGAGTAGTTTCTCGTGCCATAATGAGCCGCCGGCACAGTTCGTCTGAGATGCAGTTATAGGTGAAACCATTACGTCATGGAACATTGAAAGCCAACTAGAGATTTTGTGGAGTCAATCGAAGGCAACGTCGATAGACAACACCTCCGCCATTTGCGAGCGTGAAGTTAGTAACCCTGAGCAACGAGGAAGAAAAACTGTTTTCTTTAAAAACATGCCAAGCTATTCTCAAGTAATACAGATTAACTGATAGCTAATTCATGATTCCCTTGCCCTTCACAACCCTCATTGTCATAAACGCTGTCTCGACATTTCTTAACTTAATAGAATTTTCTTGGACAGACATGTGTTTATGTAAGACAAAGAGGGCAATTAAAAGATAAGAGTTAAAATTTATCATGAGAATTTCAAATCAGTTTCATTAAGACCCAAACTATTATCATCACAATAATTCAAATCCAATGGCACGGTCAAGGAAGCCTTCTTGAAAATGATTTTATTTTTACAGAGTTTAGAAGTGAAAGTGAATTTGTTCCCTTCCCGCGGACATGGAAGACTAAATACCTTTTAGAATAAAATTTTGCAACACTTTTATTTCGGAATTTTAAGATGCGCATATCTCGCCACACTTACAGTTTCGCGATTTTGCGATACCTTTTGAATTTTATTTACTGAAGTTTTGTGTGTTTGAGAGAAACGCAATTTTCCTTGAAATTTTCAGTTACACATGTCCATGTATGAATTAAGTAAAATAGTTTGCGTTAAGTACAATTGCGTAAACAGTAACGTATCGTATCGATGAGACTCAACTGCAACAATAACAACGTAGAAGGTTCACATTGTATTCAAGTAGATGATGCTTGTACGTAAATTGTTCGCCTTTAAAATGACCTCAATGATGCATGTACACTTCGAACCGTTCAAACTTCGAGTTGAAGAAAAATGCATTTTGAAAGATTTGTTCGCACCAGTATTTGTTGAGTGAATGTGAAGATATGGATCTGACGGTAACAGTTCTCTCTCAGCCTATTTACATAATATCTGCCAAATGTCATATTCGCGATATTTACTGTTCTGGTCAACTAAACTTCTTTTTTTCTTTTAATCTCGAAATTTGTGAAATCAAGGTGTTGGAAAGTGTACATGTAACATTCCCAAAATTCGACATCCTTAAACGTTACTGTAGAAAAACTGTCTCTCTTATGACCTTCCCGCGTTTGTTCATAGAACAACGTTTGAACCTTTCATTCAACATTTAACCTTGGCTTTAAAGATAAAACTATGATTGTTGCCATGGTGAGTGCACCTCGAGCTCAAGTGGGCGAACGAGGTAGCGGTAGATCTTATCTGAAAGAAATACCTAGCCATGCGCAAGGGATTGTGGTCTGCGGAAAGATCAGAGACGCAGGGAGTTGTTATTTTCCACAAATAGGAGAGATTATGATACGCTTTCCACTTGCATCCTCTTGCCTGCGTCGTTCATTTCTGTTCAGAGGTAAGATTTCCCAGCTCGGTAAGTCTCCCAGTTTTTCTTTTTTTTTTCCAATTGTTTCTTGCTGTTTTTTATGCACTTTATCCTTTGTCGCTTCTAATATCCTTCTTAAACTTTCCTTTTGTTAATTAAGCCTTTTCTTTAGTATGCAACAAGGCAGAAAAATCTTGATTTTGGTGTGTTTGTAGTTAGTGTTCACCGGGCGTCTTTTTTATATTGTACATAAACTACGACGAATTAAAAATTCGTTATAGAAAGTTTCAAATTGTTACTGCGGGAACCCTAACAAGTTTTATTTGTTATGGACACAGCTTTAATCAACATGTGAATAATCGTATGTTCGCAGACTATACCTCCTACTAATCGTTTGTAATTACTGCAACTTGCTGACCGTTTTCTTCAACTCGGCAACATTTTCTACCATTCAAGTTGTTGTAAATTAGCGAGTACCTTGCTCACCTCATCAAAGCTGACGTTGTGGCCTTTCTCTCATCTTTCCGCAACCATCGTTAAAAAAAACTAATTACAAGCGATATTCCAGTTTTTTTTCGGGGGAGGGGGGGAGACTTAAATCTTTTAGCGAGATCTAGATCGTCATGTTCCGGTAAGAAGTTTGAACATTTAGATATATTGATATATTGAAAGGGGTACTTTGCTAGGAGGAGAACAGAAGTTCTTTCTAATTTTATCTCGGACTGCGTGTTTAATGCTTGGAGAGTAATTTTTCAAAAAACAACTCTCTCCTGCCCATATGAAACTGTTCATGTATAGGTGAAAAGCCTCAGACGGTCTGCAGTACATACTCACATACGGCAGTATTTAATAGAGTGTCCCCCCTGAATGTCTAGGATTTGTTTCCCATTACGTGGGAAACCAGCAAGTAGCGAATTGCCACTATGTGATAAATTACCACTTTGTGAGGGACAAAACTTTGCACACCCCTGGAGATTTCTATGAAGGTTAACGTGATGAACGTACACTGGTCTCGTGGCAGGTTAAACGTTTAGGTGCTGTTTTCTACCGTGGCGAGTCACCAAATAAATGTGTACACCGGCTGAAACCAGCTGACTAAAGGCGCTGAATAAACCAAATTATTTTTCTTTTTATTACTTCCTTTCCATGCAAAGATACGAAGCTAATGAAACTAAAAATGTTGTGCTTTCAAGTTTATTTTTCACGTTTATTAAAAGTTTCGGATGAATTTCAGACAACTTTAGCGTGGTTTAGATTTGGATGATATATATGCAAAGACGCCTTAGGCAAAATAACAGGAAGCGGGGTGAAAATTCGGTAAATTGAAGCGAATATTAACCAAATGAATACGCAGACGTTTTGCGTCTTTGCATCATATCTGTCATAGAGATTAGGAATACACTTCCTTTTAGACGTAATCTAAAACTAGTTATACTTTTCTTGTCGTGAAGTGCAATCGTTTGTCTCACAATGACGTCACTTCCAATGAATAACAGCAGGCGTTTGACGATAATAACTGGTGTTTTTTTACAGAATTGATGTATTTTTTTCGAAAGTGTTTGCATTTGTAGATCGTTAATTTTCAATCAACCTCTGCACAGTCTAAATGTCGCACGCGAACAGAATTTAAATGGGGATTTTCTGCTCTATTTAAAACCCAGTGGTAGAGAACACTACTCATTTGTGCAATTACAGAGGGATATTTTCTTGGATGAGGTATGAACAAACAGTTTGAAAATTTCCTATAAATGCCACGACAAATTACACAATATGGTTAAGCAGCAGTTCATTAACAAGTGAGGAGAAGGGTAAATTTTGGTCTAGATGTGTAAATTTGCCACCTTCTCGATCAAAGGGGTAAATTAATGTTATATGACATTTTTATGTCTTGTAGGCGAAAGTGTCTCCCCGAGCCACAACCTTGTGATTTTGCTTAGTACCTTGGTGATGGATGTTGCCTGTATTCTGAAGCTTTTAATCCTGTTTTTGTCTGGGACGGTGTTCATAAGAGGTTTGTTGGGTTTATAGCTGAATATTTTATTAATAACAGCAGCAAACTACATTATTTTCAATTAAGACAAAAAAGCCCTTTTGAAATACGTCCAAAAAATTTAGCTGAGGACCCCTGCATTCGGAAGCTTTTAATTCTGTTTTTGTCTGGGACATTTTTCATTAAAGGTTTGTTGAATTTATTAGCTTCCCCTCGCTTTGTTCCTCTTTGTTATTTAGTTTTTAAAACAAAAACTTGTTTTCAAAAAGTGAAAAAAATGAAACCGATTTTGAGGGCAACAGAAAAGACTCTTATACCTTAGGAAATAAGGGACAATTTTCCCAATTTTTACTCCCTAGAAAGACTCATTTGCATAGATGTAAGATAGGCCTCTGCTGTTAATAACAGCAGAACTTTTAAGATGTGTAATTGGGAAAAGGATAGATCACAACGTATTGCTTTTTGTCGCTACAGTATTGTTAGATGAACTTGAATATGCAGAAGGCAGCTTAGTCTCATGAGTGTTAAACGAAGCTTTGCATTATTTATTCATTTTAAACATGCAAGCATGAATAAATAACCAGATTTCTAGACTCATCGCTTTATCATTTAAAATAGGACTTGTTTACCCAACATCTTTGCATTCGTTTCACTTCAGGCACCCAGGCCAGTGACCACGAACGAGCTTTGTTGAAGAAACTGTTTCACTCCAATTATGACAAGAATGAAAGACCTGTTGTGAACGACTCAGATACGGTGACTGTTGTATTTGGGTTAACACTTAATCAGATTGTCGATGTGGTAAGGATTATCTTCAGCTTTTTTATTGTTTTCTGTATCATAAGTGTTCATCGTCTGTATCCCAAGGATTGTCTTTAAAAAAAAAAACAAAAAAAAAAACGCTCTACTCAGGAATACGCGAGGTGTCAATAACTTTCCCCGTAAGCGGCTGCCTATGGTTTAATGGGCGGCTCAGTCCGGAGATGGGCAACAAAACCCGTACACGAGACCTTACCTGCAAGCTAAACAAGCGGCGCCAAGAAGTCTTGTAGGCGGCGAGGTAACTAGCTTTCAATAAAACCCCTGAGAGTACGCAACTGTGCTTGCATATAAAGCACACACATAGAGGGTGGGCTCAGGGATACTACACACAGGACCAAATCCCCCACCCCTCCCCCTACCCGTACTCAACAAATCACAGTGACAAACGTAAATTTGAAGTCTCTGACCCTAAACACCCTAACATCAGTATGCATATTCTCCATACTGTTCTCTATACATACCTAAGGGGCTGACAAGGAGAATTTGTTCAACAAACAAGAGCTTCCCTAGTTGGTGATCATTTCTTTTATTCTCGTGATCTTAATTTTTGATTCAGGGGAGACATTTTAAGGAGAAGTTAGATTTAAGTTAATAAAACTTTCTCCCCCACTCACGGTACTTAGAATCTAAAATTTCAGATGCAATATCTTTGTATTTTTTTTCTACAGGACGAAAAAAATCAAATTTTGACAACTAGTGCGTGGGTGAGACAGGTTAGCGCTCTTCTCTTTTAAACAAGGAAAATAAATTTGATTATTTCTGAGACCATTTGTTTCAAGTGAGGACTCTGTCTTCCGAGGAGTAAGCCCTGATTCGCCAAAATCTTTCATATGTTGTATCTTTGCTTAAAAAACGCTCGAGGTGAATGTTAGCCGGCGAAAGAGTTTAAATTGTGATCGTAGCAAATTTCCACAGCAACAACAACAATAGCACAAAAATGATAGAGCTCGTTAATTGTTGCCAGCACGCACACATCACTTTAAAGTTGCGTCCTTCAAAGAATTCCAATTCCTGCCCACCTCTTCTTTTTTTTTTCGATTCTGGAGGGCTTCCAAGAGTGTATGTTCATGCACGGAAGCAAAATGTGGTTGAATTAGATGACGAATCAATATTTTGCTAAGCGTGGGCATCAGTGTAGTAATATGCATATATAGTGCAGTCTAGAGACCAGAGAAATGGAAAGTAAACACGAGCACAAACGTCGCGCTTAGAAATATCTGACAGTGAAAGCCAGGTGCACAGGTAACAGGCTTGCGGCAAAGCCACTATCACATCCCTGGTAAGTATATTTTGTCCATGTATAGTTGTGCTACAGTCTGACATCATGAATAATCAACATTTGAAGTTGACTGAGGATGTTTATTGGTTTTTAGATATGGAATAATCCTCTGTTAGCATGGAACAGTAGTGAGTTTGGTGGACTGACAACAATTAATGTCGCTCCAAAGAATGTTTGGCTCCCTGATCTTGTTCTGTATGAAAAGTAAGTTTTATCTCGGGCTAACCTATGCCAACATTCACACGGCATTTAGTTGAACAGCACTCGCTTCATTTAATTCTAGCTATTTAAACCCAACGGGCTGTTGTACATTGTACTTTCTGTTATCATTCACTGATCACGAACTGACCTCATTGGTTTCCATAGGTGCCTCACTGCTTACTAAGATTATTAAGATTTTTTGTCTCTCAAGTTTTGCGCATCGATTTTTGTTGAGTTGGCGGGGAAAAATATATCATCATTACTTGCTTTTGTCTACGGCATCACAAAATTTCTCTTAAATGGTAAAGAAAAAGCCTTGTTTTAAGTTAGCGCTCAAGATTTTTTTTCTCAGAGAAGTACTACCTTTTGCATGATCGTATAAAAAGTGCATGAACTGGCCAGGAAAAAAGGTTTTAAACAACATGACTGTCATCTATCCCTGAAAATGAATTTATACACGTTTGTTCAATTCAAACTTTATTCAAAACTGTCTCCGTCTTTTTAACAGTGCTGACGATGACATTAGCTTTGGTGGCAACTTGGACCGTATGAACTTCAGAGTTGTTCTCCATTACTCAGGAAAAAACGTCTGGCTTTCTCCAGTCACCTTCAAGAGCAAATGCCGCATTGACATCAAGTATTTCCCATTCGACACTCAGAATTGTAAAATGAAATTCGGTTCTTGGACTTACGACGGCTTTCGGCTAGATGTCATGAACGAAAGTTACTCGGCTGACCTCGGGAATTACATCGATAGCGCCGAATGGAAGTTGGTCGGTGCTCCTGCCAAACGCAATGTTGTAACGTACTTTTGTTGCGAGGAGCCTTTCCCGGATGTGACGTACACGATTATTATTCGACGACGTTCGTTGTTCTATATGATGAACTTGATATTACCGCTGGTCATAATCACTGTGTTGATAAATGTGTCCTTCGTCCTCCCCGCAGAATCAGGTAACTGCAGGAATCGAGTTGCATTTCTAAAACTTTCCACAATAATAAGTCGGTCTTCTTGATGCTTCTCGTGATTTGAGATGTTTACACGGTAGTCTTGGATCTGTTGAGCCTTTTTACTTAAGATTGACCAAAAGAGGACTTTCTCCTCACAGTTTTGATAAATTTTTAACAACATCAGTGATATGAGTGGAAATAAACTATCGACCAGAGGGTAACAGAAAATTCTTTAAGCTAAAATTATTAAAAAATATATACGGAGGGAAAAGTGAAGGCCTGATGAACAGTAAATTAGGGGGTTCTCTAGGAGACCAGTCACAATTTACAACCTGGGTGGAGGGGGGCGAAGGATTCTTGGGGGGGTCCCATCGTTTTCATGGGGAACGGAGGGTAAAATCAGCCTTCTCTTTAGGGGGGACTGTAGAAAATTGACTGTCAAATGGGGCGGTGGGGGTGGGAGGCATTAGAATACTGTAAAGCCTTATGTAGGATAAGGTAAATTATATTCTGATAAACTATACTCCTCCGACTCTCCTCCCCCCTAAGTCAGGCAATTAATTCATGGCACTGCGAGTATCGAGTACCGTCCTTATGGGAGAATAACCGAATATTAACGCAAGTATTTATTCTCGGTGCAAAGTGTTCCATTTGCCAACTAAGCAGAAGTATTGTATAAGTGTGTAAGTTTAACTATTGTTTCCTTGCTCTTCACAGGTGAACGTATTTCGCTCACAATAACCATCCTTCTTGCCATGACAGTTTTCATGTTGGTAGTGGCGGAAACGATTCCTCCGTCTTCCGATGTAGTTCCACTCATTGCCAAGTTTTACATGGCTGGTATGGTTGAAATGGCTGTAGGCTTGGTTTGGACCTGTTATATTTTGAAATACTACCATTCGGATGTCATCGAGATGCCATCGTGGGTTCGGAAGTACGTTCTCGGCCATCTGGGACACTTCTTCGGAATCAGTATGGAAAACCTTAAGCGCATCCAGGAACACTCAAACCTTCGCAAAGATACGGGTCGCAAGGCAACCATTCAAACTGGTTTGGAAACATCTGGTAGAAAGATCACGAGCACACTCATTGTGCAAAACGGTCAAAGCAAAAACCCTTATGATAGCCATTATAGGCGTATTCCTTCAGCGACGAACGGTTTCTCGTCACCGATGCTAAATGCATCAGATATCTCTTTAAACCAAATAGACGGTTTCCAGGATCCGGTTCTCCAAATTGGGGAGAGAATTCTTGAAAGAGTTGACACACTTGTGGAGAATTCGGTTGTTGACGACAGGCTGAACAATCATAAGGAAGAATGGCGTATTGCTGCCATGGTGATGGATAAGTTGTCCCTTTGGGTGTTTGGGACCTCGGTTCTTGTCACTGTGCTAGCGTGTTTCTTGCAGGCACCAGGTTACGTTGCATGATTCGTGTCGAATAACAGAGAGAGCTGGTTCACAAAGAAATGTCTTTGGAATCAAACTTTGTGCCTTTCCCTTTTGTCTTTATCTGTGCGAGGTGGTCCTTTCTCCCACGAGTGCAATGAGGATATTGAATTTTAAGACTTCAAGCTGTAACTGCGACTTGTGCATGAATAGGGCTGGAAGTGTAGATGTATTTTTGATGATTCTAGGAGTCCTTGCGTTTTGACTTGAGAATTTCGTTGCTTAGCAGTAAAGTGAATTGAACTGGGCTATACGAAGGAGGTTGTACTCCACTAAAACGCTAGCGTGGCGTTAATTATAAAGTCACACACATGTTACTTTCAGAAATAACATGTTACTATTAGTGAATCTAGATAAGTGCCCCCTCTCATCGGCAAAATTGCAAAAAAGTATCCCCCATACTTGGGGAACCCGTGGTTTCATACACGGTAATCTCGTCGGCGGAAATTGTCAAGTTAGTTACTATTCCATACTTTTCTTCAGTTTGTGTAAACGTTAGGTGAGGAAAATAACCTCAGTTTCCAAATTTCCGCCATTGAAACGTCAGGATCGGCTTTTTATCTTGATTGACAGTTTATGTAGTTGATTCTTCGCCGATGTTTTAGTACAAAAAGCAATTACATCTTGCTACGAGTTAGAAAAATTTGAAACGCGCCCTACCTGGGTTTAACGCTGCTTGTCTTAACCTAAATTTTAATTAAATGAGAATTTAGCGTACATGTGCCTTTTTATAAAACGAAGGGTTTTACTATTTATGATGTGATGGGTATTAAATTTTAATACTGACCTTGTTGGGAAATCTCATCAGGTTTGCCTTTACAGAAAAGGCCAAGCGGTTGTACGACTGAATATTTATCATACGATAAAGTTATCAGGCTGCTCTCATCGTTTCCTTTATGTTGCTTCTTTAAATGAATTTGATTTCGCCGTTTATGGTATAAAGATAGCGGGGTCTATGTTGACCTTCATTGTTTCAGTTCTCACCTATAACAGATGAAATATAATTTAGAGAATTTTTATAAATTAAGTTAGTGTAGATTTACACACAGCGTGAGTATGATTACGTGAAAATGTGTGTTACTTATGTAAAATAAATCTGTCGAAAGTTATCCGGAATGCGCTCAGATTGGTTTCGTTTCATCATTGGCCTCCCGCCGCGGTGACCTGGGTTCGATTGGCGGGCCTGGCATCATAGGTGGGTTGAATTTGTTCTTGGTTTTTATCCTTAATCCAAGGGTTTTTCTCCGGGTCCTCCAGTTGTCTTCACTCCACAAAAAAATAATTTTTCAATTCCAATTCAACCTGGAAACAGCCGACAAGAAGAGCCACCTTGTGGAAATCTACTGCTAAATTCCCATTGTCATTATTTTTATTATTGATATTAGTATTATTATTATTATTATTTCCTTGCACGTTGGGAAGTTTGCATCCTCGATTTTGATCGACCTTCCGATCACTTTGCGTCGTTTTTGTTTCGTTTTTGTTCTTTTAAATTCTTTTTGGCTTTTTGTTTTATTTTGTTTTGTTCCGAAAGGGAGGGGGCCTTAATGTAGTACAGTCATAAAAGAGGGGGCCTTAATGTAGTACAGTCATAAAAGAGGGGGCCTTAATGTAGTACAGTCATAAAAGTCAGATAAAAGAACAGGGCATTATTTTCTCTTACAAAAGTTCATCAGCCCAGTCTACCTGACCTTGGTTTCGTTGATATTTTTAACACTCTGTATGCTCCACAAGTACCTCAATGTATCACTTAGAGGTTTTTAATCAGTCCTCGAAAACATTTATTGTGTATGAGTAGATGAGATGATTTTATCGCGATTTCGCCTTCGTCAACTACTCAACCAATTGGTGTGAAGAAATTCGTGTAATATGAGACTTGAGTTATGAAATATTGAGCTCCAAAATTTGTTAACACGTTATCGTTTAGTTGTACCGGTTCTCCTGGTGTTGGCAAATCATTGACATCCTAATTTCCTTTTTATTAGTTTCCCTAGAAAACCAACAATTTATAATATATTCGCAAGAAGGGGTTCTTTGCGTCGATGAGGTCGACTTCGGCTAAGGTATTCAAATAATTCACAGAAGTATGGCCAGTATCTCACGACTTCAGCGTAAAAATAGTTTTAAAGAAGAATTTTCCGAGGACACCCTTGTGATTAAGTGTTTCTAGAGAGTTTGAAATTACAATAATATCGAGAGCCGAGATAAAAATAGTGCAGTTCACCTCATTCAGTTGATTGTTACCGAGCTTTTGCCTGGAGCAAACTAGAAAGAGCTTTGTCTCTTAGACGTTGTGTTTGTACTTTCTTTTATACTTGTGATGTCGAAAATGTGCTGTGAGAAATTAAAAAAACATTGCGACATGCATTTTCCGGTGTTGTTTGTACAAACAATTAAAATATCTTTTCTCCGGTCCCTTCGCTTGCTTTACGGAGGCCGGTGGCGAAATATTCTTCTGAGAATGCTGATATGAAAAGCGCTATGAAACCTCATGAGGAAATATCCAAAAGCTTGTCCTCGGCAGAAAGTTCATCACTAGAAAATATGCGTTGTTTCTTGAAACTCAGAAACGTAACTTTTAAACGTTTAGCGTGTATCAGTGATTCAGATCTTTCACGTCTTTAATGCAATAAAGTGTGCCGGAGATGTGTGGGCAGTTTCTTGGGTTGTTTGTGTATGAGCATGTGTTTTTCAGCCTGCAACATCCACTACAACCGGATACATAGAAGCAAAAATTTCATTAACTCTTCATGGCTTTGCATACTTCTTTATACGTCCATCATAACTACGTTCTGCTATCGAGGTAAAACTCAGTTGACCTTTATTTATTTTTGTCTCAGTAAATTACATTCACCTTAATACTTCCTGTTGCGTTCACCTATAACACAGTTTCTGGTCCAGAAACGTGACTTACAAAAATTCTAGTGTTTTCTATGACTTGTAGTGCCAGCTTTCCAAACCCAAGCTGCGTTCTGTGATGTTTGGAGATTCAACGCTCTGGACTCGAAAACAGAAAACAGATTGAAATAGCAGTATGAATAAAAAGGGTAAGGTTCTAAAGAAACTGTGGTACTGCGTCGGTGGGAGATTATGGCAGGTAATTAAGTGTTAACAACTGAGTTGAAAACGTAAATTGGCCACCGTAAAGGGTAAAAAGCTGACGTTTCGAGCGTTAGCCCTTCGTCAGAGCGATTGGAGGAATTGTGGGTTGTGTGTGGGTTTATCCGTTGCTGTGAGATCTGTGGATTGAAAAATTTTAAGGCAAGAGTTAGTGGTCGCAGCAAATGAATGACAAATAAATAAAGGGGGTAAGTTTCTAAAGAGACCGTAGTGCTGCGTCGGTGGGAGAGTATAGCAGGTAATTAAGTGTTAACAACTGA